CTTCATGGGTGAGCTTTACAACTATAATACGCCTCCATCCGTTCTGATGGCTGACTAAATCATCACCACGTGTAACAACAAATAAATTAATTAATGAGGTAGAAAATTAACACTATGACCTTACGACTTTCTCACCAAAACTGATTGTAAAGAATTTATGATTACGGGCGCCGGGGGATGAACAGTTACGAGTAAACAGTGACGGCCAGCGTTTCTGGTTAAATACAGCACTGACTATAAGGCAGGTATTAATAATGTAGTGGCTTGCGGATGCTGATAGCCGACTGAATCGTTACAAATGGTTTGAAATTAAATTGAAAATATAATCGAGTAAAAAAAGGTACATGAAAAAATCGTTCACTTACCTAAGTGAAGGCACCGAGTCCGTCATCAGCGAAAAGACAGCGGAAGCCAGGATATGGATCAAACCCTTTAGGCCAATGTCGATTCTGGTCACTAGGCAGGCAATCATTTCCACGATGCCAAGGCGAGGAAAGAGTTCGTCGACGCACGTCGTTAAACGCGTCAGACACGGGGGCAAAACGATGTTCACCGTCGACGTGAGGTCTGCGGCGGCGAACGCAGCAACGCAGCGGGCGGAAAGGTGACGGACGCGACAGTCATTGGTCTCCAGCAGGGAACACAGCGTCTTCAAATGCGGCCGAGTTATGCCCTGCCGCAGAGTACAGTGAAGATCGGGCAAAACGGTTTCTAGCGTCTATAAAACCATCGAGATTAAATGAGAATTTCAACGTAAAACGCGAAATCAATTTGCTTCAGAAAGCAATGCTTCAGCGGGGTTGCTCATTCAATAAAGTCCCGGGTTCGAGCCCTCATGTCCCTCATGTATTCCTTCCTATGCTGGTGCATGATACCGTGTATTTAATTAATTTTACTATTCGCCTTTTGATCAGGACAAAGGTTTACCTCTTAGGTCTTAAACAGACGTGTGCGGAGCATAAACAGCAGCAAACATGGTAGTGTCGTTTTTCTAACGCTCTGATTCTTGCAACAATGAGGGCGTGAGTTTGTCGCTTTGAGAAAACGACACTGAATCCAAAAGCTTGAGGTGATGAAGTATCACTGCTTATTACCGTGATCTCCGTTTCCAAACGTAAACCATGCTTTCGTTTCTCACTCATATTACAGAGTAAATAAAAAAGGGACAGTTTGTAAACGTTGGAATGTCGATCTTATGCACAATTTCATAAGGGGAGGGGGCATTTCTTGAGCCCTTCTTTTCATAAAGTTAGCAGTGGGAAGGCGATCTTGCTAGAAGTGCCTCATGTTTTAAAAACAGAGTCGACATCTGCAACGTGGCAAAGATGGTATGTAGTCTCCTATTATCTACCACAGATTGGTACTCATTTATCGAACTCGAAAAAAATTACAGTAACCTCACCGAGGCTCTAACCGGTACCTCTCAGTTATGAATTTACATTTTACGGAATGGACTGAGCAGCCCCCGTCTTCTTCAGCGAAGGAAATAATAGGTAGTTCTGTGGTACGGTAACATGGAAGATAAGTATGCTAGAGTATGTTCGAAGTATGTTCGAGTGAAATCCTGATTTGACACTCCCGCATTTAAAAAACCTGTTTTCTTCACTTCAGCTGCAGATCAAAGCGTCCATATAATTCTGGTTGGTATGACCAGGTTGATATGGATTTAATTTAATTTACCTGTAGCGTAGTCAAAATAGTGCAATCGCCATCATCCGTCAGTGTGGAAACAGCGTTCCATAATGATGGAAGTTTCTGCGGAAGCTGTTCTC